TCAAATTAGGATTACATCATGATTGCGAATTTGAATTCAGCTGAATGTAGAAAATCACAGTATTCATCTGTTTGTGTGTGCACTTGCTTCATAAATATAAAGGGCATGGGAAGGTGAATGAGAAATTCACCGCATTATGATGCAATAAACATTCTGCAGATTGAAGCAACCACTCAACCTGGAAAATCTTCCAGCCATGCTGCAATGTTCATCAACACAAAACATTCAATGTCAGCTTCTGAGCACCCAGAGCTTCAGCTTCAAGTTTAGGCTCCCATAAAATGGTAGTTTCAGCGACAGCGAGTAGCGCCGTCACTACATATGGATAGAAAAAGATAGAAATACATTAACACAAGAAAACTTATTTTTGTTCTTTTCATTATTCTCTTGAAAATGTTTTTCCTATACTCATCAGTGTCATACCTTTGCCGTTCTTCTCAGTGTCACGCCCCACATGAATCAAGCAGCCACGGTTAGCTACTCCCTGCAAATCAGCCATAATACCTTGACAAAGGTAATGTGATTTCCCAATGTATGCTCATAGATTAATATAGTGTTTACATATTACTGGTAAAGCATACCCAAGAAAATGCGTTGATATTGTCAGTTTCGTGCTTTCCAGACATTCTTCTCTCATTTCCTTCTCCATAGAATCGGCATATTCAGAATTTGCTTTCTTGATCACTTCAAACCCTCCTTCCTCTCTCATACTCTTTGTACTGTCAGTTTACAAACAATACAGAATCACAACATGCTTCCAGACACAGGAAATAGAAATCATAACTACACAGTTGTCCTATATATTTGAAATGCAGAAGAGGAAGAGATTCTATAGTACAAGGTTTTAAGCAAGAATGTGATTAGACTACCTTTATTGGCTTTGGATGAGAACAACTCCTACTTGTTCAGTGATTCTCTGTTGCAGTGGACAAATGCATTAGTATCCCTGAGAGAGAAACCTGGTGCACAAAGCTCTTGCTATGACAGGCTCTAGTGAAGGGTGGCTTTCTCAAGGATTGAACCCCTAACCCCAAGGATCCCCACATCCTTGAAACCATGGGAGTAGCCTCTGTCAACTTCTTGGCTAACCTCACCTGCTATTGGGCAGAAGGAGCTAAATCTCTGCCATTTTCACCTATCCCCAACTGAAAAACCAAAACAAACTTTATGTGATCATCAAATGCATGAAATGTATGCCTATTGCCTAACAAGAAGGACTCAATACTAACTAGACGAACAAGACTTCTGTAAAAGAAGAGAAGTTCTGCATAAATTGATGTACATATGTGAGAAATACCAGTGATTAAACATCTAACAGCTTACCATGATGAAAGGGTAAACAACTCTGTTCTTTTTTCCTAATTTTCTTCAAGAACAGTAAAGCAGAGTTGGTGAGAGTAGTGTCACTTACCCAGCTGGCAGGAAAAGCAATAACTTTGAAACATGGACTTCTATAGCCAGAGACTGCACACACACACACACACACACACACACACACACACACACACACACACACACAATGTTGGGGTTTAAAGTAGTCTTATTAAGTGAGAAGATTGAGTGGACACAGAATGACTTGTTGGCTTGTCCATAGTAGAGATAGGAGTGTCTATAGAGTGGAGGAAAATAGATTTTGCTAAGAATATTTTAGTCTTAGATTAGATATGGAGAAAAGTTTTTTCTCCATCAAGATGTGGACAGTTCTTGGAAGAAAAAATGCAAAATATATTGAAGATTGTTTATTTGAAAATTGAAAAAACTTTTAGGTAGAAGTTTGGACCAGGTTGGAAGCAATGAAACATGTTAAGTGTAACATTGTACAAACTGGCAAAGTGGTTCTCTAAATACCAGGCTTTGTTTCTTCTTCTTCAAAAAAAAAAATACCAGGCTTTGTTCCCAGTCCATAATTGTTCAAACAAATCATTTCAAGAACTATAATGGGTAAACACATGCCTCTTTACTTTGGAACGTGTCTGGACTAGCTTACATGCCCTTAAATGCTCCCAGAGTCCTGCCCATTGAGACTAGTAAAAGAGATAAATCGGGGGATGTGTGTTAACTGGCCTACATGTCCCTAAATGCTCCCGTCTTGGAGACGGGTGTAAGAGTTAAATCTCAAGATGTCTCAACTAGCCTACATGTTCCTAAATCTCCTGTCCTAAAGATTAGTGGGAGAGGTAAATTGTAGGATGTGTTTTAATTGACTTATATGTCTGTCAATACTCGGTCCTTGGTTGGATTTGAACCATGCAAATCAAATAATTTATTTTGAATTGGTTGACCAGCTCAATCGAAGGCTACATATACTTAGTATGCATAGACAGATTTTTCTTGGCGTTCATTTGCATGTGAGATGTGTCAATGAAACATATATGCTAAACCTTAAATGAGCCAATCATCAGTGGTCAAGAATGGTTGTTAAAGATGCAGACATGTTTGTGCTCCTCTGGGACCATTGTTGGATAAGAACTTATGCAGCAGGGAAAAGTGATACGCACTATCCACTCTCACTGTACACTAACCACTCTCAATGCACACTAACAACCAAATTATTATTTTTTATATATTAGAATCATACATTGCACAAATTTAAAATTTTATGCTAATTTACACTTTACAAAATTATAGATTATTGTTTATTGTAAGTTCTTGTTGAATAGACAAATATAATATTATATATTATCACTTTTTTTAATAATATAACAATATTATAAAAGTCTAATAATTTAGGTCCAGTGACACAAAAGTAGATTATAGTCCGATCTAGTCCACAAGATGGACACCATTGATTAGTAGTTTGAATAATTATTATCCTCAAAGTAGTCTGATCTATTCCACGAGACATTAATTCACCATATTCACCACGAAGAGATCAATCATTATTTTCTACATAAGAAGAAACACTATTGCGTTCAATGAAAATTATTCTAAAAGTTTTTTACACTTTACCGTAAACTTTACAAATTATATTACGTCATAGTCTCCGATGTACATGCATTTGCTTGATATAAAAAAGTTCATAATTTTCACCTTTATAGTCTCCCCATAAAAGATTATTTCATGTTTATTTATGTTCTACGTGTATCCATATTCTATTTTAAGGTTTATATATATATATATATATATATATATATATATATAGATTTATTGAGTCACCCTAATAAAATTGATAAGTCTAGTACAGTTCAAATTTAATTTTAAAAGTGGAATTACATATAGATTTCATTAAAGATAGTTTTGACTCTTTTCTTTCCTATTTTCCTCACTCTTCCTTTTATGCTTCCTTGTATCTGTAGTATAATTCTTGTATAAAAAACTTTTGAGTTTAGTTCTTGTCATCAACATCTTTTAGGTTGAGTTCGTCGCTTGTGATTTTTTAGTACGATTTACACCTTTTATGTACTCTGTAGTTTGTACGATATTATATAAGAATGAAAATTATTCGCATACATTTTTCTTCAAATAATGATAATGATTATGAGTTTTCTCGTCAATCAATAAAAGAAAAGAGGAGACAATATCTATTTTGTGGAAAAAAAAAAAGGACACAAACCCAACTCTAACCTTTACAGCTGCGACAATATTATTAAATACTTGCTTTGCGTGCCACAAACATTATGATGGGATCGTGATAATTCATATTTCACTTTGATAAAGAATATGACACCACTCTTTGAATTATGGACAGTTGAAAGATTTTTCATTTACTGCTATCTAAAAGTAGAATTCAGTTTGACTTTAATGGCAATATCATATTTATTATATCATTAAAAAAAATATCATGAGACGGACTATTTTTACGCACCGTTTTTATAAAAAAGAGAAAAAAATCTTTGTTTTTTTTTCATTATTGTCATAAATAAAGTAAGGTGTTCTTGATTACAAAGTTTTGATAATCGATTCGTAATTTCATAATTATTAAATATGCACTTAAAATGTTTTGTTATAAATAGAAAAATGTAATATTTTATTGGATAATTTATATGAAAGTATTACTTTACTCCATATAGTAATAACTAAAAATCCACGGATAGGGCTTATACGTGCCTGACCGAACATACGTAGAGCGGATCAAAGCGAAACAACATTGAGACCCTTTGGAACACTTCCCGATCATCCGGTCATATTAGACCAGGATAATAAATATTCTGGCCCACAGATTCAATATGCTTGATTCTCGAAGTGAAAACTAGTTAAATCATACTTTTGTTCTCTTTAAGGCAATTGGCATTGCCCCCTTGACTAATGAACCCTCGCCTTCCACGTGTAGGACATGTCGGAACCCTAATCTGTGTCCAAAGACTTACCTATATAAGGAGCATTTATTGCTTGTAGGAGGGACTTTGACTTTTCCAACTACCCTAACCCTGTTAGTCTAACTAATCCATTTTTCGGCTCTCGAGCCACCTAATTCCCAAATCCCGAGTGAACAATTACTAGACCAGAAAGACCCATTCCCGCACACGTATTCATAAATTAATCACACCACACACTATTCTAAGGTGACATTAATGAACACCGGTGCTGGTTATACTTAATACAACTAATATTAATTACACTCTTCCAGTCAATACTATGCGCTTGACACCCTAAATAACTTCCCAATAACTTATTCAAAATTATTAGACTTAATTTAGCTGTGAAAAGCAGTTGGTATGTAGATTACTAATTAATATGATGTATACAAATACGGATGCTATATGCAAAAATTATAAGACTCAATTTAATAGGGAGAGTTGTTGGTCAATGAATTGTTAATTAATGTAATTATAAAGCATCAAACTCTATAAGTGCGAGTGCGTGAGACATAAAAATGCTAAATGTCATGCAAAACTTATTAGATTTAAGTTGATTTAAGCTTAGTTAATTTCACAATTTCTTGAGTCTTGACGACTTGACAACCTATGCATCTTGTTTAAGTATAACTAAGAATTCTTTAGCTTATCTAGTTTATTAGTAATTACAATCATGAGAAGACAACAATATTAACTCCAAGACAAGAGTATAAACTCTGGAAAATGGAAATGGCATCAGTACCGCACAAGAAGGTTTTGCCGATTTAGAAAATTTTTGATTTGTTTCTGACGCTAATAAAAAAGAAAGCTCAAATGGGTTGAACACTAATAGAACCTCCACTTTTTCTTCAATTCTTCTTCGAATCAATCACAGGCCCCATCACCCATAGTGCTCTGTCTTTCTTCATCTCTCTCTACACGCATGATTATATCTGTTTCTGTAAGTAGGGAGAGGAGAAGGGAGAAGATCTGGGGTCAAATTTGAATCTTTATGGAGCATCTTGTCAACAACATTATAAGACCACCCAGGTAGAAGGAACACCACTGTTCTGCTTTCTTTTAACTATCCAGAAATCATGTATATATGTATTTGTGGTGTTAAAGTTTGAATCTTTTTGTTTAATCTGTTCCTAAAGTTTATGGTGAATGATGAATGGCTACCCACTTAGGGATACTGTTGACAATTGAGGGTTTTTTTTTTTTTTTTGGCTGCTTTCTGGAGCTGAATTTTGAAGTTCAGTGTACAATAATGGCTTGAAGTTCAGTTTAGATGAAGAGATATATAGCTACTGATCTTAAAGCTTACTGTGAAGGACTCCATTGTTATGTTTACTGATTATCTAATTTCAGTAGATATTTCATATTTTCCTAAAATAATTGAGAATTCACACAACTGGGAATTTGTGAAACTCTGGCCCATATTTTGCTTTTGCTGTTTTCTGTAGTTCAAAAAGTTTTTATTTTTATTATGTTTTAATCAATTTGATAAGCGATTGAGAGGTTAAGTATACGAAATGCATTTTCACGCATGAATTATGTTTGAACCGAAGAATTTGGTATTAATGAGTTTACATCTGCTGGACTTCAGAGCTGAATATGACTCCAAAGACGATTTATTAGACGAAGAATTCATGCTTAAAGGAAAGTGGTACCAACGAAAGGATTTGGAGGTACAACTTTGAATGCATGTTGAAAGGTTATTACGAAGCGTGGGTTTTGGAATTTTTGTTATTAGATTGAAATGCTATCAACATTTCTGCAGCTTAAAAACATTCGAGGCGATGTTCTTAAATGTAGCCATTACACGCCAATCATCTGTCCCGAAGGAAAGCCATTGCCTTGTGTAATATACTGTCATGGAAACAGGTTTGCTGAACCACGTAAATCTTGTCTTCTTTATTTTCTTGCCATTATTTCTTGTTCAAACAGAGACTAACCTGTTTCTTTGTTACGATCCTTTCCCAGTGGTTCTAGAGCTGATGCCAGCGAAGCTGCTATAATACTATTGCCATCAAACATTACCGTTTTTGCGCTAGATTTCTCGGGATCTGGGTTGTCCGGGGGAGAACATGTTACATTGGGATGGAATGAAGTAAGTAGCTAAGGAACTTGTTCGACTTTTTGTTGGAATATTCACCTTGCTGTCTCGGTAAACTACTAAAATAGAGTCTCTAGAAATATGATAAAAATTGTCAACTCACTGCAGTTGATGTGTTCTGCAGAAGGATGATCTTAAATCTGTCGTTGAATACTTAAGGCGGGATGGGAATATATCTTCGATTGGCTTGTGGGGTCGATCTATGGGTGCTGTTACTAGGTATAATAACTCTCGTGTCTTGTATGTGTGTGTGTTTTTTTTTGTCTGGATCGGAACCTAATCCCTAAGAATATACACAGTAATCCATGATATCATGCTAAATATATTCCTACCATTTATAATGTCTAACAGTCTTATATGCATAAATCTAAGTCCCGCTGCTCGTTGCTCGTGCAGGTGTTGATAAGATTAAAGTGACTAATTTTAGGCGCTTCGTTTTGCAGCCTGCTGTATGGAGCTCGGGATCCTTCTATTGCGGGAATAGTTTTGGACAGCCCCTTCTCGAACCTGGTTGATTTGATGATGGAAGTTGCGGGCACTAATAAAATACGGCTTCCCAAGTTCACTGTAAGCTGCTCCGTTTGTGGCTTAAAAATATATTCCTTTTTTTCTTTTCGACATTCTTCCCTCGTTTACCCGGTGGGGCTTGGTTTGATGTTTCTTTAACTTGTTTGCTTTTCTTACTTCTAGCTCAAGTTCGCAATCCAATTCATGCGGAGATCGGTTCTTAAGAAGGCAAAATTTGACATAATGGAGTTGGACACAATCAAGGTACCTCTATGTAAAATGTCTTCTTAAGAACCCTATTTTGTTTAATTGCTTGTGTGGGATTTACCTGAAAATGTGAGGGAATTTTCTCGGATTGATAAAATAAGAGAGAATATATAGGTTTATAAGGCTATGTGTTAGACTAGCTAATTGGTTGGATTCAATCTTTTAGTGTGGTTTGGTCCATGTGCATTATAGCCCCTAGCCCAATCTTAGTTTATAACACATTTTAAGTAGCTTGATTCCATCATTTCGGTTTGTGTAGGTTGCAAGGTGTTGCTTTGTACCTTTGTTGCTGGGTCACGCTGTGGATGACGATTTTATCCAGCCACATCACTCCGATCGCATATTCGATGCTTATATGGTAAAACTTGATTATGCCTACTTGTAAGCTTAATAGTAACCGTAAATTTTTTTCTTGTTTTCACTGTTCCCAGCATTGGGCACAAATTGCGTATTTTATCCGGTTTGTAGTGATGCCTTAATGGTAATCAATCCCGGCAGGGGGAGAAGAATATTATCAAATTTGAGGGTGATCACAACTCTCAGCGTCCCCAATTTTACTTCGATTCCATAAGTATATTTTTCAACAATGTGTTACAACCTCCCGATGATGATACGTTTTTTGACATACCACCGGATTATTTTGGCAAGGTAATATAATTCACGTATAGAATGCATATCGTTATTAGTTCGAGTGTTTGACTACTAGCATTCCCGCTTTGAACAAACTCGTGTTTTGCAGAAAGATGTTGTAGCTAATCCTGCCCCGTCGTCTTCAAACCCGATCAGCTTTGAACTCTCTAACGGTGATCCCGACGGTCCGGGCGTGCTTGCATCGATAGATGACGATGAGTACGTGGAATACTTGCTCGATAACTTGACAGATTTTTCGGAAAGTATGGAGGACGAGAATAAGGTGTGTACATATTCTACTTTTCTTCTGCACGCCCGGCTAATTTTGCCCGTCCTTTGGCCCTTCTAATGTCTTCTAGCCAAAACACTTTCAGATGATCATGGAAGCGGTGAAGGAGTCATTGAAGGACTTGGAAACGAGACCTTCTCGTGCTGAGGAGCTTTCGTCGAGCACCAAACAACCGGAATCACTCTCGGATTACGATTCCCAAGGCTCTACTACAGAACAGCCCGTGCCCTCAAACGAGTCTCCAACAACACCATTAGTCACCAATGGGCACGGTTCAACATCCGAACTCCAGGTTGCTGATACTAACAAAACGTCTGTTGACAACCCGAGTTCGGGTAGCATAGACTTGGTTGATCACACGAAAGTCACGGTGACAGTCATAAAGAACCCGACAAGCAACATCATGAACGGTTTGTTGCGCCGTTGGGATCTTAACTTCTTCAGAAATAGATGAGATTGAGTGAGAGAGAGAGGGAGAGAGAGAGAGAGGGGAGGCTATTGTTAAAACTGATTGGTATTGTATAGTTTAGAAAGGTTTAACCCTGAGAGAGTATGCATATTTTAGAGCTGAGAGAGATGGAGAAAGAAGTGTTTGGGTGTGTCTGTGAATCATGTATGGGGACTAAGATTTTTGTTAGAGGGGATTTTTTTTAGAGGGTGGCACACTATCATTTGTTGAGTTAATTCCATTTTTTGGTTCTAGATTTATAGGTGACAGTCCACTTTTGGTCCATTTTATTCCTTATATGAGATAGACTCATATTCCTATTCCCTATATGAGACAAACTCAACACCATGCAATCTCATTCCAAACAAGTGGGAAAACATGAATTCATTCCAAACAATTGTTTACATTCTTTATTGATCTTACACAAAAAGAATGGCATAAACTCTTGCAGTACTTTGCTTTACATGAACATTGCATTTATTTCCATAAACTTCAGAGTTCTCCAGAATCTGCAAATCTTTGCTGTCAAGACTGGCCATTATCTTTGAGCAACTTGAGTGCAGTTTCAACCAGTGAGTGGATCGTTTCCCCGTGTCGATTGATGCCCACTGTGCCGGAGAAAACATTGAAGCTCTCAAGCTCTGATGTGGTCTCTGTGATGCATTCCAGTTGATGTTCCATTCCCAGGTTCCTGAAAACCTCAGTGTTTCTTCTCTTGTCTCTCATCATCCAGATTGCTAGCTCTATGGCAAACCTCCTGATCCTTGGAACCTTGATTGATGGGTATTGGTGCCGCCCAAGAATCTGAACTAGCTTCTCAGCTAGCTCAGATTCTTCAACCTTGGATCTTTCAAACATGATGCTTGATTCCTCAGGTGTCACAAACCTGAAAACATGTGCTGCTAGTCCTAGCATCACCTCCTGCATTTTATTCTGCTCTGACATGATTGCTTTTAGGATCTGCAATGGTGAGATTCTCAAAAGTTAGTTATTTATGCATATAGAGGAGTTTTTTCGCACTTTTGATCGCACGACTATTGCAGCTTATCATCTCATATTTGGTCCTCGTCTTTCAAGGTTTTCAATTTAGTAGTATTTTTTATTCTTCCGATGACCTCTCGGGCAAAATTTTGTCGGAGTCTGCATTCTTGACCATTATACAAGGGAAGAAATTGGGGAAAAGAGTTTTTTCACTTGGTTTTAAGCCCGGGTTTGGGGAAAAAAGTTATTGTAAAGATAATTTTACCTTTGTATAACGGTTAAGAATGCGACCCTATTGGGGGCAACCCTAGCCGAACATTGATATGATAACCATAAGGTCCCAAGTTTGACTCTTTGTGGGAGCTGTTTATTGACCTTTTTTATTTGAGCTAGTCAGCTATGGACAACCTAGGTTAGTTTACCTCCTCGTGTTCCTTTACCAGTTAGGATCACAAGACAGGCTTCACTCAGTGCACACATTCGGGTAGCAGTTATGAACTTTCCGTAAACCAAAAAATGCAACCCTACTAGAATTTTGTGAGGTCATTGGAAGGACCAAAATTGTGCTATTAAATTGAGAGTCATGGACTAAACATGATCGAATCTGAAATGACTACCATAATCGTGGGACCAAAAGTGCGAAAACTTTACCAAAAAACTATGGAGAATGTATGTATATGAAGTGAACTTACAGTTGGTCCAGCAGCAGTCAAACTCCCAAGATGTTCAAAGCTATCAGGCCCACAATAAACACACAAGTTCCTCAAAATCCTTGCTGCATTTATCCCAAGAACTGGATCCTGCAATGCTGCAACAAGCTTCCCAGTCACCTTCAACCTCAAGATCCTGTGGCAATTGTTCCTGCTCTCAAGAGCCAACATTCCCAGTGCTTCTCCTGCTGCACTTCTCACATTATGCCTCTGATTCTCCTGCAATCCCTCCTTGAAAAAGATGCCAAAAAGCTCCTTGAGAACCCCCCCAGTGCCTCCAATCCTCTCAGTTGCTTCCTCCTCCAGTGCCAAGCTCTTGAGAATATCAATCCCCAGACACTGCAGGGTTGGGTGGTTTTCACCATACCTCAAAACATCCCTGATATTGCTGATGGAGAACACAACTTCTGAGATTTCTCTCCTCAGTTCTTTCCCCGTGGCGCCTGTCGTGCTTGCCAGCATCTTCACAAGCTGCAGGGATCTCTTTAGGGTGAGAATCTGGGTGGGGGTTGTGGCTTTGTCTCTCAGAAGTCTCTCTCCTGCCTGGGTGAAATCTATGATTTTTGGCAGAAGGCCTCTGGTGTTCCCAATCTTGCCACAATTGTCATGATCCCTGGCAAGTTTCTTGAGAATTTGCAGCCCCAAATGGTTGAATGTCCAAAACCCATAGCTCTCACTGTCAAAGATGATCCTTTTTTCACTGATTTCATCGCAGGCACCACCAAAATCCCTGCTGATTTGCAGGAGTGAAGATATGGACTCCATGGCTCCTGGAATCCCTGCAACCCTGAGAGCATTCTGCTTTTTCCCAGCAAGCTTTGACAGGATCTCAGCTGCAGAAACCCTGATCTCTTCATCTTCATCATTCTTCCAGTTCAGCATCTCCACCAGCCTCTCCATCACTGCTATATTAGTCCCAATCTTCTGCAAAGTGTCACCAGAGAATCGAGGGCTCGTCGCGAATTTCCTGAGGATTAGAGCCCCCGAGAGCTGCTCATCTGGGGAGTTTGAGGCCAGAAGCTCCATGGCAAATGAAACCATGTCCATTTTTAGGCCATCAAAGATGCTCCCATACACACACTTTGAATACGCATCATAGAAGAATCTCTTCACTGAAACCATCCCTGCAGGCCCCAATTCACACTCTTTGTTCACCTCCTCCAGGAGATTCCTGAAGAACACTTTCCATTCCCAGTAAGCTTTCTCTAACAGGAACAGCAAGGCTTCTGCTAGTGCCAGGGAGTAGAAGATGTTGAGAGCCGGTTTTCGGTTTCTCTTGTCTGTGTCTTCTTCCCCCACTGCTCCATAGTCCTGTCTGATCAGTTTCATCAGGGAGAGAACTAAACATGCTGTGGCAGATGCAATCTGGAGCCAGTGGAGAATCTTGCCCATGTTTCTTGGGGTAAATATCCATTTACCGTATGGAACCAAGGGAACTTCTGAACTTGTCCATGTTCTGGTGGGCAGTGTCTTCTTATGATGCCAGTGTCGCCGCCGCTGCGGCGGCGGCGGCTCTGAATCACCACTAATAATCTCCCCACCGCCGTGCTGACTGGCCTTTTTGACTGCAGAAATAGGCCTGCAAAAAAAGGATGTCAACATTTTTACGTGGATGTATTTTGTGTTGTGACTTTTCTTGTCGTGTTATGAAATTTGATATTTAAGGAATATGAATTTTGTATCTGAAATAAATTAATAATTGTGTCTTATGTTATGAACATTTGTGTCTTGTGTTGTGAAATCTTGTGTCTATAATTGAAGCATGTGTTTTATCTCAACTAAAAGTCTAAGTTGATAGTTGAATTGCACATTAATGACTATATGCTCAACATCTATGAACTCTAATTATATTATTTATGTACCTAAATCAGATTTGATATATAACATGTATATATGTCTTGTGTTATAAAATTATATACTTTACTGATATAAATTCTGTATCTCGTTTTTTCAATCTAGGGTCCATAATACTATGTTATGTGTTTTGTGTTGATTTTTGTGTGTTTGTGTTATAAAATTTTATATTTTATCAGTATAAATTTTATACCTCGTTATTTCAGCCTGGTCCATGATATAAATTGCATACCTGCAAATGACCTTCACAGTTCTGGCAATAAAGTGGGAGCTGGATTTTATGGCGCGAAAGCTATGGATCCCAACGTCTGTAAGAGACCATGTGGCCTGATGCTGCCATTCGAGCTCACGACTCCGGCTGAAAATCCGGCCGCCTTCGATCAGGAGAATGACGGTGATGAACCAGAAATCTGTTCTGTCCAAAGCGATGGCGAACCCGCCGAGAAGAACCACCGTGGCCCATATGAAGCTCAGGGTTCCGAGCCCCGTCGCCGCTTTCTCCAGCACCGCCAGCCGCAGAGCGAAAAGCGTCAGCTTCTTCTCCGGCGCCCTAACCGCCGCCGCCGCTTTCGCGGAAACGGAATTCTCCGTGCTGCTGTTCTTCGTCGTCATTTCGCTGCTTTGCGGCGCAAACATGGTGGGATCGCCTCCCGTCGCCGCCGTGATCCTCGTGCTCAGCTCCGATATCTGGAGGCGAACGTCGCCGTCACTTTCCAACCACGCCTCTCTATCCATTGTTGAAGCAAAAAGGTTGGAACTTTGGGTTTATGAAGCTTGTAGCTATGGAGAGAATGGGTTCTGGTAATCTATACATATATATAATATATAGAGAGAGAAAGATTAATGATCTTAGAGAGCACGTAGATGAAGCGGAACAGAAACGTTAAAGTTGCGTCTCTTTCTGTCATGTTTTTCCCAGCAAGTTTATAGGCTTATGCTATGTTACTTCAATCTTCACTTTTGCCTGTCTTCCAATGGTACGAGGAAATTTTTTGTCAGTAGTTTCCGGAGTTTTCATGTCTTCTTGATTTGAACTGATTAATTATGGATAAATCAAACTGATCAGCCTTCTTATGTTTTTTTGTCCGTTAGAGACTTATGCTGTTTGGTTCACGGAATAAGTTTGCAATAACATAACATTCTCAGTAATAGACCTATTTCTCTGTTTGATAACCGTACCAGTTGTATTCCCAGGAAAATTGTTCCTGAGAATGACCTAGATTCTTGGGACCCTTTGGCTTGGTTCAGCACCCGGTCCTTTAAATATAAGGTTGGTGATTATTGGTGAAACATGGCTCTTAACTCACTTTGAATTAGTCAATTAGTTGAGGGGTTAAAGTTGATAGGGCTGAATGAGTTGGAGAAATACAATTATCTACTTTATTATCAAGTAGACAAGTAGGGTTATCTTGTGCAATAATCCAATCTTTTTGAAGTCCATGTTGATTAGACCATTAATTGAACAAGTCCTAACATAATCCACTGTTTAAGAATAGAATTCATCTTCCATAAGTGAAGGGGCAAGTGGTTTAATTATTATTATTTTTTCGATAATTTAAATTTTTCGACTTTGTCAGATTATATCTTGATCTCTATGAACCTGACTCTAAGGCTTATGAAGAAGTAAATTGAGCCATCCAATACAGTTTTAATTTTTGTGATAAGAATCGAATTGAATCATATTCTCCAGCTATAAGCAAGTCTTAAATGGTTTAATTAGTTAAAGTGTAAGTTAGGCAATATATGCATACTTGGCCATGTACTCATGGCTTGCAGGAATGGGTTACAGGAAGAGTCTCCAAATTACCACATTTTTCTAATTCCTTTTGAGTGTACGAATTGATATGTTTTTTATATGACATAATAATAGTAGGAATGTCACCGACTTGAACTCATCAAATGTATAATGGTCTTTTAAGCATGAGATTACAACTTTGAACACATCTATAGAATTAATTGAGATTTGGTTAAATTTAGATTAGTCTCACCTGCAAGATGAGAATATCAATACAAGTGACTTATTTATTAACGGGGTTTATTTTAAGGATGTAGATAATTTTAGGTGAAAAGTATATTCTTTTGTCTAACCACAAGTTTTTCGACCAGTTAACTAAGATTGTACACCGAAACAAATTATATTCATGTTGGGTAAGTACTCCCTCATAGGTTCCAAAAATGCGATTGATTTTAACCGAAACTTGACTATACCCGAATTTCAATTAACAGTTAATTGTTACAAAAAAAAAAAAAACAATTATAAACAAATACTTTAGTCTTATATTGAGAATCAATCATATAATATAGAGATGTCATATACATAAGCAATTGAAACTTGGACATGGAGACTTGATTTTGGACATTGTATTTTTATAATTGATGACAGGTTATATACTATATGACTTGGGGGAGAAGTGATACATACATGACATGCATATATACCATTGCTTGTCTTCTAATAAACAAAGGTTAGACCATAATTAGACCGTACGAACTTAGCTCAATCGTTCAGTATACAGTATTTGAGAGAAAAAAGTTAGACCATAATTTCCTTAATTTAAATAGCGTTATTATTGTGCTGACCAGTTAGCAACACATGTTGACATTGAACAACTTAACGTCCCTCGGGACGAACTTAAACCTATCTCGACACCTGATTGTATTAGAATGGCTCGATCACGTTACTTGTAATTTTCTTCTTTTTTCCCGGTATCGGGAAAAAATATCTTTGGAGAAGAATGGCTGCAATAATAATGATATGAATGGGGGCTAATATTTTGCAGGAATAAGCAAGGAATGAATGATCTGGACATTAACATGCTGGGATTTTGTCAAATACAAAACTATACATAATCTTTACCTTCAAATGCACATAAAAAAAGTGAACACAAGTTAAGCATTCTGTGTCTTTAGAACTCAACTTGTCAAGGCTGTCATCTCTGCATTCATGTAGTTGGGCAAAGATTCTTTGCTGCTTCTAAAGTCGTGATTCTGTATCTTAGAATGCACGAAGATAACCCGTGTTCAGAGCCCTAACAGATGAAGAAAGACATTGTAAGAAATGTATGACAGGACTAATGTGAATCGACTATAAAAACTAGAGCATTAGACCACAGCCACTACACCCTCGTGCCTAGGTGCCGACTAATCGGCGCTAGGCGGTTGGCCTTCTAAGCGCTCCGCCTAGGTGCTCCGCAGGCGCCCGCCAGGCGGTCCCCAGACGCCTAACAATTTTTTCAACATTGCTTGTGACCCTAGTTAATAAAGGACCACAAGAAGGTAAACGAGCGTAGATTGCTCATACCTAACTGGCTCAAACCAATAAGGCCAATATACTACTCACGAGTCGAACATGTAACATTGTGGTTATTAAGTCATCAGACTAACCAACTTGACTAGGGTTGCTCCCATGGTGTGGAGGGAATACATTATACATCGAAGCTAATAAGTTGGCATATCTAAAACAAGGGGGGTTGTCTGGTTCTTTTGGACGATGCAAGAAGGGACAGGACAACATTTGTGTACATAAGCAATGTGTTTGATATGGATAGGTTCCACCGTTTTCTCAATCTTTCCTATCAGTGTTTTTTATCAACAAATTTAACAAGAACACGAGTCTCGAAGTTCAAAACATACCAGCAATCTGGTGCAAATGATTCAATGAAGATTTATGAACTATAAGCTCCACCAATGATATACCTTCAATAGAAACCAAAACATTTGTTATGAGAACAAGCAATGAAACCATAGATAACCCATAGGAAACCGAGTTTACTAACCAAATAACTAAACAACAAAATCGAGCAATCACTAGATCGTGGCATTCCTTTGTGCCACTCGGGCCTTCTCGGCATCAATGATGGCCTCGACCAACTTAACCGAACTCTCCAACTCCCCTTCTCGGTTCACAACAACATAATCGAAGCTCTTCATATGCCTCACCTCCTCCCGAGCTGTGGCAATTCTCACAAGCAAAGTCTCCCTCGTCTCCGTCTTCCTATCTATCAACCTCTTAACGAGCGCTTCCTCGCTCTCCGCTACCAAGAACACAAACACTGCAGCGTTCCCGAGGATCTTCCTCAGAGTTGCAGCTCCTTGAATATCCACTCTCAACACAATGTCACACCCTTTAGCCATGAAATCCCTAATCTGCTGTTTCGGGATACCCTTATAATCCCCATACACCAATGCATACTCCAAAAGCTCATCCCTTTCAATCATGGACACAAATTCCTCTTTGCTCATAAAGTAGTAATCTTTCCCATCTTCCTCACCAGCCCGCTTTTCGCGGCTTGTGGCCGTGACAACAAAATGAATGTTTTCTTTAACTTCTCGCAAACGTTTGATCACTGCGTCCTTGCCAACCCCACTAGGCCCACTGATCACCACGATTAAAGGGTTAGGGTTTGGGGCCAACGGGTCGGAGCTAAAGGGCGACCCTAAAGCGGCCTCAAGGGCACGAATCACCTCGGCCTTGTTGGCTGTATCCGGCGAAGGAATAGGCACCGCTTCTGGGCGTCTGGCGTAACTCATTCGTGAAGTGTACGAAATGCGGCGGTGGGTCGCCGGACTTGGCGGCGGAAACCGCTGCTTCGAGATCCTTGGTACGGGCAGAGACTTCGGGTTCCGCTCGAAAACGGCAAAAGGGTTTGTGAAATTCCGGGGGAGGAGAAATGGGTTGTGGTTAGAAGTTGCTAACAATGTGCAGAGCCTTCGATATAGCATCGAGATTTACAGGGGGTGACAAAAGGGGGATTTGGTTTTTAGGGGATGTAGTAGGGATTTGAAGAACGTGTTGGAGGAAGATTACAAAGTGACCGCGAAAACTTGCCGGCTCAATGGAGAATTTCAGAATAGTATGTTGGAATGGGGACTAATTTCAATTTTCGACGATGATTTGAGAAAATTTGGGGAGTTTGCAGTATGGTTTATCAAAGATGGTGTTCTTCATCTTTCGAGGGATTGGGCTTTTGTTCGGGTTCGGGTCGTATCAAGGTGATAGTTAAATATATTGGGCTTAGTATTCCCTTGTTGAATTTCTCTCTTGGTGTGAGTGCAATCATGATTATCTAGTTAAAATGTAAAACTCTTAGTAGGCGATCAGAAATCTAAGCACATGTAACTGATAAAGGCACTACTCTCGAACTTACTAATTATATACACGACACGTGGCAGGCAAATCGAGAACTCAGTATGTGTCTACGTTTTCCTATAAATATCGCATTTATGATTGAGGGAAGAACTTTTGACATTTTTACCTAACACTACTTAGCTCGAGAATCTCTGAGCTCACGTCATAACCCGAGCCATTTAACTTAAACTAATAAGCAAACCACTAAAGGATCCACTAACAATCTGACCTTACAAATTGTACGTATATGTGAATTTGACCGTATTTACCACATCAACTGCAAAATAAAAAAATGAAACTTTAGAATGGGTCCGGAATGACCAATTTAAAAATTAAAAAGTCAAGAGTAACTCACCTAAGATCTAAAGAGCAATTGTATCATTATGATTTAACTCATTCACAATCTCAATCTTTTATAGTGACGAGAGCAAAAAATTATATTTTTAGCCTGAAGACCAACTCTAAACCAAACCAAGATTAGTAAAAATGTTACCATATAGGGAGTAATAGTTAGTTAAATTAAAAGCAAGATTAAATTGTTTGTGCAGTAAAAATACAGCACGTGGAAAATGTGGAAAAAAAGCAGCAAGATTAGGAAAGGAAAATGCAAAGCAAAGCAGAGAGGTGATAAGTGCAGTTTCCAAGAACATTATTTCATTTTCTTATTACTTTTTTGACTTTCTCTCTCGCTCTTCTTCCCCGTCGGTCCGTCTGCGAAATACGACCAATCATCCCCCAATTTCCCAATTCTCAAAACCCTAGCTTTTTGTTTTTCAATCCGATTCAGGCCATTTCCATCTGTCCAGCTCGCTGTTCAACTTCACCATCATCCCCAAAGCTTCCATCTTACCTCTCCATGGATACTTTCCGGGTTCAATCGGAGCACCAACAGCCCGAGGCGTCGTCGTCCTCGAATTCGCAATCCACCGTCACCACCTCCACCTGCCGGACAGAGACGATCAACGGGTCCCACGATTTCAAGATCAAGGGGTATTCCTTATCGAAGGGGATGGGAATTGGGAAATACGTCGCGTCTGAAACGTTCACGGTGGGAGGGTATGATTGGGCGATCTATTTTTACCCGGACGGCAAGAGCACGGAGGATAATGCCTCCTATATATCGCTCTTCATTGCGCTGGCCAGCGATGCCACCGACGTCCGGGCGCTGTTCGAATTGACGTTGATGGATCAGAGCGGGAACGAAAGGCATAAGGTCCATACCCATTTCGGACGGGTCTTGGAGACTGGGCCTTACACACTCAAGTATCGCGGTAGTATGTGGTAAAGCTCTGGATTCTTCTTTTGATTTTCCTGTTTTCATCTTCCTTTATGTACAACCTAGAAGAATCAAGAACCATTCTTGCATTTGATCTGCTTTCTGCATATATAATCACTCCTTTTTTGCGGCCACTATCCGAGAATGTACACCTGGTAAATCCCGCCTTGTGAACCTATCTGGCATAGGACTTCAAGGAGGTAAACCATCCTAGGTTGCACATATTTGACCCTTCAAACGATGAAGCCTAATAACGGACTTGTTACTTGTAACATTGTAGTTATCAATGCAATAGTCTTACCAACTTGGTTGGGGTTGCCCTATATAAAGCAGTCCGATTGAATAATCTTTTGTTGAATTGTTGTCTCCTGCAGGGGCTACAAACGCTTTTTCAGAAGAGCAATGTTTGAAACATCGTCCTACCTCAAAGATGATTGTATCTTGATCAAATGCACCGTTGGTGTTGTTAGAACGTACACAGAAACGCCAAAGGTTTACTCCATACCAGTGCCGCCATCTAACATTGGAACGCAGTTTGGCCAGCTCCTAGAAAGTGGGGAGGGGAGTGATATAAAGTTTGAGGTTGAAGGAGATACTTTTGCTGCCCACAAGTTGGTGCTTGCTGCGCGTTCGCCTGTGTTCAGGGCCCAGCTCTTTGGTCTGCTGAAGGAAGAGGACACACAATATGTTAAAGTTGAAGAAGTGCAATCTCCGGTTTTTAAGGTTATAAAATCTTATCTTAGTTTTCTATTGACCTATTTGGCTAAGTTATATTTATATAAATAAATGCGAGTAGAAAACATAGAAGATGATGATAAGTAAAAGAATATGATAATGAATGTAATCATAGTAATGAATAAATATGCAAGTCGATAATGGTAAGAATTTGGTTATAGTGAATATATAGCCAAATACATTATAGATGATTCTGTTTTCCATTTAGAAAACAGTCTAGAAAACTGAAAACAAATGCAAAACTGTACTAGTAAACATGTTTTCTGTTTTCTATTTTCTATTTTCTATTTTCTATTTTCCAATTCTCCTGTTTTCCGGAAAACTGAAGAAATTCTCCGCTTAGTAAACGGGTCCTTAGTCTTCTGTTTTTGTGTATGACTCCCGCTCCCTCTCACCCTTTTTGTTTGAGACTGTGAGTGCATGCCTGTGTTGTGTTTATTGTTGCTGTAAATAACCAAATGTGCGTATTTGTATCATTAGGAATTTACCCACAATAATGCTCAAACATATGTTTTCGTTTAGTGATCATCCATTAATTCTCTGGCTTCCATCCCTTTCATGGTACCAAATATTCATGCTCCAATGTGTTTTACAATTTTATAAATTTTCTCTATAGTTTCAGAATGGAGTCTCGCAATCTAATTCCTTTATCTCGTTTGGTCTTCTGCAGGCATTGCTCCACTATATATATTGGGATGTGCTTCCTGATTTACAAGAATTTGTGGGTCTTGAAACTACGGGGGCAGCCACACTGATGGCACAGCATTTGCTTGCTGCAGCAGACCGATATGGACTTGAGAGGCTGAAAGTGCTATGTGAGGCTAAACTTACGGAGGGTGTATCCATCAATACAGTTGCCACGACCTTAGCTTTGGCTGATCAGCATCAATGTGTCCAACTGAAATCTGTTTGTCTGAAATTCATTGCTTCATCTGAAAATTTGAAAGGTAAACTCTTATACCCTTTCTATTTCATGAATACTGCACTTGTTATCATACTATCCAACATAATTGTTCTCCTCTTTTTGTCTTTACTGGATTCATATCGGTACGCTGTCTAAATTGTATTTCTTTTGATAACTTTGATTTGCTGTCTTCAATTCCCAGCTGTGATGGAGACAGAAGGATTTGAACACTTAAAGGAGAGCTGCCCTGCTGTCATCACCGAGCTGCTTAATTACGTGGCTAAGGTAGGTCCACCACCAGGGACAACCATTGAGCGGGGTGTAATCACACTTGATGGCGGTGATGTGCATGGAAGAAGAGTAAAGCAGAGGGTATACTGACATCTCCATCTCCATCTCCATCTCCATCTGACCTCATAAAATTATGAGATTTTACGCTTCTGATGTCGTCTTCTTTCTTGTTATGTTTACAGTTACAGTTACAGGCGTCATAGTAATCTGTTGCAGCGACATCATTCGGTTACAGCTGACTCGATCTGTGATCTTGACTACTAGTGCCAGGACCAAAAAAAGAGGAAAGCAATTGCCTTTGAGTTAGAATCTCATGATTTCCATCATTAGCTCCACGGCTCTCTCCGAATACAAAAATGATGAAAAAGAAAGTGCAATATAATGTACTAATGGAAGAATTTGGACCATTTGGTTTGTAGTTTCTGTTATATTGATACAAATTCAGTTTCATAACATGAATGCTACGGGAAGTGACCAAAAATCAATTGGTTTACTTCACAATATGTTTGTGTGCACCATTCAGTAAATGTAGTTCCCATTCTTGGAAATTTTTTGTTGTTTCGAGTTTGAATGAAAGAATTTTCGAGTTCAATTCTTGTGAATAGAATATGGTTGGAAGAATTCTTCCAATCACTACACAATGTATGTAAAAACACATTCGAAAACCTCGCAAACAATTTTCTTAAATAATTTGTCATAACTAAACAAATGTTATTACCAGGAATTAGAGACAACCGTAGCCTTTCCGAAGGATCATCCACATTTTGTAGCTCTAAATTGCTAACATTATACTTGGAGGATAATCAATCAGCACAACTATTCGCCTCTCAACAGTTTCTTCGTAATAACTTTCGTATTACTTGTCTAGAGTAGCTCCCAATCAACACACCTATTCGCCTCTCGACAATTTCTTCATAGCAACTTTCGTATTACTTGCACTGGAGTAACTTCAAATTGTTAACATTATACTTTGAGGCTAACCAACTATAAGCTCAAAATTGCTACTTTGGTCAAGAAATCATACAACTCCACTATAAGCTGTTGCTCTTGTCAGCCTCTGGGTTTGCATTTCTTGCCTGACTAGGAATGCATCTTCCCACTTTCCTGCATCTGCATAAATATTACACAGCAACACCCTACTTGGACCATGGGATGGTTCCACTCTGGCCAAGTTCTCTGCAGCCCTCTTTCCAATCTCTGTGTTGCCGTGCGTTTTACTTGCTGCTAAAAGTGTGCCCCATATTACAGCATCAGCCTCCATGGGCATGCTTTGTATAAGGGTTTCTGCTTCATCCAATCTTCCTGCTCTGCCCAAAAGATCCACCATGCAACCATAATGCTTGATGCTTGGTTCTATGGTGTACAGTTCCTTCATCCTCTTCAAGTGTCGTTCGCCTACTTCCACCAAACCAGCATGGCAGCAGGCACTCAAGACTCCAATGAATGTGATTGAGTTGGGTTTTATGTTACGTGTCTCCATATCAGAGAAAATGTCGAGGGACAATTCAGCGTGGCCGTGCATGGCCAACCCACATATAATGGCATTCCAAGGTGAGACATCGGTTGCCCTCTCACGGATTTGATTGAACAGATCTAAGGCTGTGCTGATGCTGCCACATTTAGCATACATATCGATTATAGCAGCACTTAAATTGTCATTTACAGGAATGGAGTTCTTGCGTATATACTCATGAGCCCATCTACCTTCTTTGAATGTCCCCAAAGTAGCAATTGCAGAGAAGACACTGACCATTGTGACTTCATTTGGTTTAATTCCACTCTCCACCATTTCATGAAAGAGCTCAAGTGCCAAACCAGGCTGCTCAGTTTGTGAATAACCAGATATCATTGAGCTCCACGAGAAAACATCTCGTTCAGGCATCTGATCGAATAAAGACCGACCCTCATCAACTTTGCCATTTCTAATTAGCCCTGCAATGAGAGCATTCCAACACGCAGGATGTTCCTTGCTACCTACTTCAAACTGGATACGAGCAAGATCAGTTTCCCCAAAAGCAGCATAAAGATGAATTATTGTTGCCTGTATAAAGTCATGGCTATCAAACCCCATCCTCAATGCTACACCATGAAACTGTTTACCTTCCGAAATTGCCATTGCTCGTGAACAAGCAGAAATCAAGTCTACAATCATAATATCATTAGGTTTCAGTCCAGTACGGAGCATTTGGCGATATAATACCAAAGCTTCGCTTAACCTTCCCACTTGAATATAACCATCAATTACAGTGCCCCAAGAAACCACATCTCTATCAACCATCTTCTCAAAAAGCTCCCTTAGTAAATGGACTAGCTTAGCCTTTGCATATCCATTTAACATCACATTCCAAGAAACGACATTCCTTTCAGGCATCTCATTAAACAGCACACTAGCATCCCTCACGCAAGCACTGACGCAATACACATGTAGCAAATTAGTAGAAATGTGAACAAACCCATGAAGACCAAGCTTTAAAACCAATCCATGAAGCATTCTTCCACTCTGAACTCCACCACAATGCAAAGAAGCCGAGATCATGCTCCCCAGAGTCACCTCATTAGGAACAATTCCCAGACATCTCATCTCCCTAAAAACCTGGATCGCCTTGCTAAAAGATCCCTTCTGAACCAAAACCATGATGATAGTAGTATACGACACACAATTCCTGCCAGGCATTTTATCAAACAGCTCACACGCATCCTCCACACGTCCCAGTTTGGCATACCCAGACATCATAATATTACACGAAACGGGGTCTAACCATGGGAAAGAATCAAATATCTTCATAGCATCCCTAAGCAGTTCACATTTTGCATAGAAGCTCATTAAACTGTTCAAAATAAAAATATTGGAATCGAGCCCAGATTTCAAGACAAGGCAGTGGAGCTGCCGGCCTCGGGGGATGGATGAGAGGGCGGAACATGATTTCAGAGCAGAAACCAGGGAGAACTCGTAATCGGGCTTTCGCGCTCTGGAACTTCTGAAGGAGAAGTGGAGGTGTTGGTGCTGAAGGGGTAGCGGTGAGGATGAGAGACATTTGGGTGAGAGTAACAGTATGCGAGGAAGATGACGAAGGCGAAGGCACGATTTGGGTGTCAGACCGATGATCATCACACCAAATCATCAGATGCTTTCTGCTACAAGTTTGATTAACTTCTGGAGGGAATGAACATATTTCATCAATTCACAGTTCAGTTCGCGATGGTATGAATTGTAAGTTAGTATTTAGTAATATTTGCTAACAGGTAACACTACTTGTGTGAAATTGTTTCATGAGGGTCTCAATCCGTCAGATAAAATTGAGGTTTCGGATTGAACCTCATGAGACAATCTCTTATTAACTAATATTCGTGAGACAGGTTGAATAGACCTCATTAATCAAAGATCTGACCCGTCTCACGGATTGAAACCTATGAAACAGTCCCTTATTAACTAACAATTAATTTATCAAATATCTTTCTAAAATCGATTATACTATCAATTAGTCAAACTCACTAACCCAATCAACTACACAGTTATGATTCTTCCTTTAAATCGCTCAGCTATATACAACCCCAATCAATAATAGACAACTTTGATTGATTTATTTTGTAATGTTCCTTTATTGCCTAGAGTCATAAAATGTACTTCACTCAAAAGTCAGAACGCACATTTGGGTAATAACGGTGAATTTTTCCATAAATCAAAATTTAGCATTTTAGCACTAAATTACAGCCAAAATTTAAACAATCTAAGCATTTACTATAATGCGTCAACCATCTATTTCACAAAGGGATTATGAAATACAGGTACAGAAAAAAAGCTGTAAGTTTAGTAAAGACAATTGGCTTGAGAAAAGTGAGAGAATGAGTTCACAGAACAAGCCATTCAGATGTCCAACTAGCAAGTTGATATTTATTGCCATGTGAATGTTGTATATATCCTTCAAGAGATGGGGAAAAAAAAATTGGTGATAATGAGTATACAGTGAGTATGGTTTTAGACAACTTTTAGCTGTATCATTGGGTAAAGTTAGACGACGAGGAGGGGCGAGAGTCCCTTGAGAACATGGAATGGCTTCTAAAACCACAAGACGACAGCAGAAGAAGAAGCTGTATAGACGAGATCCCAATGACGCAGCCATAGCAGTCAACTAGCGATGATCTTTACCGCTAAGAGTCACACTCCTAACAGAAAACAATGGCATTAGCCAATCAGTCGGTCAGTCATGCTTCAAAGCAAATATCCAATATAGTAAATATTAATATAAAGTAGCAAAGTGCAGGGATCATAGGAGACAAGCAGTTTATACAAAGATACAGATCACAAGTGAGCAGTCATTAGAAACCAGAGGGCAATGGGGAAAATCCATTTTTGCGAATGTTGCCACATCTTATAGGTATTTGCTCTAAAAGATGTGGCAGCATTCATGAGTTCCTTTCTCAAAATTCATAGAATGGGAACAGCTCATAGAACCTTAAAACCCGAGTATGCTATATTGCTCTTACAACATATTCTACTAAATTTTACCTTGAGAACTCAAAAATGTCAAGTCACATTTTGATAATCAAAACTCAGAAACTTGTTGATGCATTTAACACTAAATAAAACACCACAAAGACCGTAAAGAATAGGAAAATTCGAACTGGCATCTATCTTGAATTGAATACACTTAAAAACTAAATTAAATTTTAGAAATCAAGTTTAGAAGAACTTGGCAAGGGCCATGTAGAGTCATGATTGACTGCAGAGATTCACATTATAAATTACACAGTACTTTTATGGTTAATAGTTGATTATAAGATCTCCCAATCTTATAATATGATAAATATTTAAAATAAACACCCACAAGTTCAGATATAGAAATCTGATAGACCACTTGAAAACCTCTGGATTGATAAGTTTGCTAGAACATGTTTTATTTATTTCCCTGTCTTTTAAGTGGCAATTGCCAGAAGTTAAAACATGAAACAATGGTGTTATATCCCAGAAACAAAGAAAAGGAAAGAGAAATAACCATAGTAATTGACGATTAGTTTATCTAAGGCCAAGATTGAACTCTAGTCCAAACTTGCTTGAATCTCATAAAAGTACGTGTAAGGCATGGACAAATAAATATATCAAGCACTTGCTTGGAAGTAGACAACTATATCTGTGATCACACTGCTGAACATTTTTTAAGTATCAAATATGATGAAATTAGCACCGGGTAATCTTATCAAGTTGCAACTTGCAACAGACCATTTAACTATGTAAACAATTACATTCCTGCTCTAATCCAATAATGACACTAATCCAAAAACATTCCAACTATATCAAAAACTATTCTATACAGAGATGCACAATACCCCAAACAGTTGAACTGTTGTTTTGGGTACCCTCCAGGATATGCTAAGATGTTTTGCTACAAAACTCACCGACATCTAATATTTGAGACGCTGACTACAATTCATGTAAAACCTTTAAATAAGTGAAACAAAAATTGAAAAATGAAATGCAACTTATGGAAATAATTTTTTTTTTTTACAATTATAAGCAGCTATGCTTTCCTTCCTCAGTTGATTGCTTGACTGATTAACAGATTTACCAAAATGTTGTTGATTATATCCATTGAATAATTGATTGTCTGTAAAATCTCCAAAGTAAATTAAATTTTCATAAATCTCTTAATTTAAATTGGATCTGATGAGAACTTGATCTCCTTTCGTGTATAAGGTAATAATTATAAGAAAGACTGGTAGAGTGCAGGAAACAACAATTAGAAATAGCAAAAGCATTGTCCAACAGAAGGGAGAGAGGGAGAAGAAAGAAAGAGCATTACCTAAATGTGACTTTCCAGAAATTAAAGGGGAAAAAAAATAGTAAAAGAAATTCAGTCGCAAAGATGCATTCGCCAAATGCCGCTTTTAAGAATTTTTATTTAATTTCCAGAAATGTAAATGAACATAACTTAAATGCGACTTTACAGTCCATTTTACATTTTGGTTTTCACATACAGTATTTTAATAAAATTTTACAGAGATCAGTTTTTTTTTTTCACCAGGCACCTTACTGTAATAATTAAGGTCAACTATATGGCATACTATTGTATAGCATTACATGTTGGTAGGGATTGCTTTTGCATAGCCTTGTTGAGTTGCTGGCATTTTCTCACAGGTATTTTTTATTTTTCTTTGCTTGCTTTAGGATTTACTAGGTTGTTAGTGAGAAAGGGTTTTAACACCCCCCCCCCCCCCCCCCCTCTCCATGCTTTCAAGATGTACATTCATTTTGCTCTAATAAAATGATCCTATCCTGACAAAAAAAAATAGTAAAGTAATAAAAAGTTCAATTGTCTGACCAGAAATCAACAGCTTTTATGCTTTGTCCTATCTGCTAAATTTTTTAAAAGAACAAGAGAGCCAGGAATTTAGGATTAAAAGAGTTTCACCGCAATCCGCAAACATGCAAGATATGTGAGCAAATGATTTTAGGGAAAACAAAAATGGTTGTTTCATTTTGACAAAATATATTAAAATGCCAGCCATACATCACATGAAATTTTAGTTTTCTTCAACAGATTGGGCAAATAGAATTCATGAAAGATCCTACTACTTCTTGAAGGTTTTCTTTTTAGAACTAGAGATAGCAGCCTGTGGTTTTGGATGCCTTTCGGTTTCAGCAGATTTCAGAACTATCTGTTGCATTTTCATTTCAACAGCTGAAAAACTGTTATATTTTCAACAGGTTTATTTGTTAGGTGCTTCTAAAATATGCAGGCAAGCACAAATCCATACAACACGGATGAACCCTAGATGCAATGGTTGGATTATAGACTAAATAAAATGCATTCAGAAGCAACTAAAGCAAGTCTAAGTTGCATAGATAACACGCAGCACATATTGATATCCATGAAAATTTCACAGTTGAGCATAATATTAAACATTCAGATCCTCAAATTTCACAACAGTATCAGACAAGAGAATTGAAGAAAACAGATCTGTTATTTAATTAATGATTGAAGAACTCACTTCTTGTGGCGACGTCCACGCTTGGGGCCCCAGCCTTCGAGCTTGGCAATAGGGCATCCACATTTAGCCCGGAAAAGTAAAACAGCCCGGCCGCTGGGCGGCGCCATCTTCCTCAGCTCAGCACGGAGGCACTCATAATCAAGGTTGGTCTCACTCCCGCCTTTCCACGGCAGCTCGTTGATCTCTCTTACAGCCTTACTCTCACTCCCGACTTTCAAGCACTCCTCGTCCTGAACCTGCAAGTCAAACTCCATAGCTTTCCGCAGGCCTTTGCAGCCGGATTTCCCGCATTTCCGGGATCGGTTGCCGCAGCAGATCTCGAAGACAATCACGGCCGTGATGAAGACGAAGAAGAAGAAACTGAACAGGACGTATTGGATTTGGACGTCCACGGAGCGGAGGTGGGAGAGTAGGGCGGCGAGGGAGAAGGAGGGCGCGAGGAGGGAGAGGGAATGGAAGATGTAGGAGAAGTAGGAGGAGATCAGGAAGGCTCCAGAGAAGAGGACGAGAATGAGGATGAGGAGGTCGAGGGTGGCGGACGGGGAGTGCTTGCAGAGGTTGAGGTTGTGGTGGTGGGCGGCGCCGGCGGAGGAGGGGCAATTCTGGGAATTCACATTAGGGTTTGAGCGGATAGAGTTTGAGGGTTTTTTGAGAGGTTTTGAGAGAGAAAGGGAGGAGGAAGGTGCCATGGCTATGGAGGAGGAGAGAAGCTGATGGCGCATGTTAGTGAGGAGGAGGGTTTGGGATCCCGGTGGGGGGACGGTGGCGATTGGGGTTATTACGCTTTCATTTTCAGGTGAAAAAGTAGTGTTCCCATTTTGGAGAAGGAAGGCGATGGCGTACGTTAGCAGAACTGTCAAAGTGTCCTTCTAGGCGCATTTTACCGCTCTTCCGTTACGTTTTGGAAGAAGGAAAATCAATCATATTGAAAAATAGTAAATTGTACCATTCTTACATTTAATTTGATTATATTTAATTTTATGACTTTTTTACATTACCACATATAATTAGCTTTAAAAGGGGTAGATGAGTAGATGATCACAATTCTCCTTTTAATCAAACCCGTTGCGGAAGGTCTTTTTAATGCAAAGTTTAAAACTGAATATACCGACACTTTGAGAGGTTGCTCTGACACTGCCATTGATGAGATTCAATCTCGATTCATTGTTCTTAAACTTTACTCTTGTGACCAACTGAGCTGTCATGCGAGCATTAAAATTATTGTATACTTTACTCCTGTGACCAACTGAGCTGCCATGCGAGCATTAAAATTATTGTATACACATGAATTTGAATTCTTAATTTCGTATAACAATCAAAACTTTCTTTTTTGTTTTATAAATTTGGTAATAATGTCAATTATAAAGACTTGATGATGGAATGTTAGGCATATGTCATGTCTAAGATTTCAAAAAGAGTTGAATAACCTAGTCATAATGGTTTGCTTCACCTAGTACATTAGCTCAATTAAGAAAACAAGTACTTAGATTCTTAAATTTGATCACACGTGAAGAATGGTTTGTCACACTATATTAAATTACTATTCATTATTATTTAAAAAAAAAAGAAAAAAAAAAGACAAATATTGATGAATGAACATAGTATAATTATGTCATCACGCTTTCTATTGAGTTCGTCGCATTGTTCCAGTGTAATATACAAGAGCAGAGTTTACACAGTCAATCAATTGACATAATGTACATTTTTATTATACTAAATATATATATTTAATACATTAAAAATTCACTTTTTAAAAACACGTTATTTAAATAATAAAAATATATTATTTAATATACATTCAATACACATATAATGTACATTTAATATATTAAAAATATACCGTTATTCATGATCCACAATAAAATTCGCCCTACCCATTAGACACCACTATTATGAGTTTCATGTTCACCCAACCAACAAAAAAAAATGCATGGTAAAAAAATGAATTTTTAGGTTAATGTGATGCTTTGAGTAAATTCCTCTTGCCTATTTTATTGATAACATGGACAACACGTTGTCGGCGCCGTAGTACGTTACTATCATTCTTTCTTCCTTTTTAGAAGAATCTTATACGAGAATAAAGCATTACAAACATATCTCCTCTTGATTAAATATGAAAAATATTTGGTGTATTTCCATTTTGATGCGAACCTAGTTGACCCGATATTCTCTTCTCACTCAAATTACAAAAAATATTATAGGATGATTTATTCGGTTGGATGAATTTGAATTGAAGGTTTGATTTAGACCGAACCACACCGAGTTATACGGTGATACGTATGATTTCAGATGACGTCACAAGTGGGGTTTACACTTGATAAGTCAAGTTTGCCATGACCAACTCACGGCCGAACTCATTTCGAGTTTCAGAAAACACTAAATTTCTGAATTCAAAAATTCTCAAACTCTATATCTCATTTAGAATGCAATGACCTTAAATAGTCATTAAGAACCAAATTACAACCACATGAATGAGATAGTTATTAAGAATATGATAAACTAATCCTACTTAACCAACTAAGATAAACATTAATAATAATATAATACTAACAAATTTAAATCTAAGATAACTTTAATATAATCATCTTAATTAAATAATAAAATTAATTCTACAATATTTTAATATTCTAACAACCAATTGTTTATTCTTGTGCCCACAACACATTTTATACTCTCTATTTTTACTCTATTTCACATGTTGTTCATTTTTCTGTAGACCTATATGATGAAAATAATCAATCCTAGTTTGACACATCAGGATGTATGAATAAGAGAGTATAATTTGGGAGTATGCATAGTAAACCTCTCTCTCACTCTCTCTCTCTCTCTCTATATATATATATATATATATATATATATATATATATATATATATATATATATATATATAGTAGGGTTTTAATGCAACACACTTAATCGTGTTTGCACACATTTAATTTACGTTTGCACACACTTAATCTAATCTAGACCATTAAAAAATATTAGATAGATGCACACGATTTGTTCTCATGTTCTCATCTAGAAAAGTGTTCTCATATGATCCTAAACCCCCCTCCCTCTCTCTCTATAATTATATATATATATATATATATATATATATATATATATATATATATATATATATGAGAATATAAGTAATTGGTAAATCTTAATTGATTGATAATTCAATTAATAAATTACGTGATTGTTTTTTGAATAGAAAGAATGGGAAAAATCCCAAAAAGAACATGATACAATATAAAGGGCATTTTCATTTGTACATTTTGGCAGTTTTTTCAAGAAAAAATTAAGGAGGAATTTGTGAACAAATAGAAAAGAATTTTTTAGAAATTTTATTCTTACAAATATAATTTTTTTGTGGGTTCCAGTCTTGAACTAAATGCCGCGTAAGTCAAAAAATTTTAGCACCGTTACATCCAACCTGAAGTGCACGCACTAGCTAAGCGCATGAAATTTGTTTTTTTTTTTCTTCTTCTTCTTCTTTTTTCCTCTTTTATCTCCTCCTTTTTTTTTTTTTCCCTCTTCTCTCCTCCCCACAAAATCATAAAAAAATCCATAACTATTGAGGAACACAATGAAGCTCATCTCTTGCTTGCACACTTCCAACAAATTAAAATAGCAGTCTCCACCTGACCGCCCCAGAACAAAGTTTAACTGGTTAATCAATTCAAAATAAATTAAAATTTTACTTTGCTAACTCCAAACAAAGTTCAACTGGTCAATCAATTCAAAATAAATCAAAATTTTACTTTACTAACAGTCACAAAAAACAAGGTACTAAAGACTAATTAAAACGCACCCCAATAAGAATTACCTCCTCCACTAGATTCTAGAGCAAGAGCGGTATCACAAATAACGTCAACACAATTTCTTTAAGCTAAATACTAGTAATGTTCACCATACTTAGATAAACAAGTGTTTATCAAGTCAGAAACACAATACAAACATGATTATAACAATCAATAGTTGGGTACAACCCGTATAACATGTAGATACATATAATGGAACACACACACACACACATATTAACATCCAAGATGAACGATGAATCCATCAGAGGATCAAGATTCAGAAGAATTCACGATCAGGGAAGAGCAGAGGTGCGACGAGGGACCAAAGATAGAGAGCGGCGGTGACCCACCCAGTGCAAATACGAACCCAAACCGAGGTCCAACCGACGTCTATAAGCTCCGTGCTCTCGGAGCTGCTAGTCCAACCGGCGAGAAGCATGGCGGAATACATGCTAGCCAAGGTGAATATCAGATGGAAGAACGAGTACGAGTAACTGACCGGTTCTCCCTTGGCTTTACCAGACTCCAGCTCGTCAGAGTCTAGAAGAGATTTCCTTTCTCCTGTAACACGGAATTCACATAAGCTATTAAGCTCGTTCCAAACTGAAGCATGTGCCCATCTCAACTAAAAGCCTAAGCTGATAATTGGATTGCACCATTAATGGTTATATGCTCAACAAGGCATAGCTCAGTGGTCGAAAGCCTGAGTGTGGGTGTAGTACCCGGATTTGAATCCTCAATAGGGGAGGATCTTAGCGTGGGGAAAAAAGCAAAGCACTCGGGCCCTGTGTCACTAAGGCAAATCCCGCGATTTACCTCCTCTCACAATCCCCGAGGCAGGGGTGAGGGGCCATCAGGTTTAGGGTTTAAACCTATTAAGCTCGTTTCAAATTAAACCACTCAAAACCGAACTCCCACAAAGCTCGTTTCAAGTTCAAGTTCAAGTTCAAGTCATCAAGTGTATCCTAGGGTTTAATTCCTAACACACCCACATATTCATTCCACCAATTCAATAAATAGAGAGCATAGTTACGGGATTTGTTCAAGATTGGTGTACCTGATCTGGGAGAAGATGGCGGGGACATAAAAGCGGTCGAAGACCCAGCACGAAGAGCAGAATACAGAACCGAGAGAACTGTCGTAAGCATCCCAAGAACGAGGGTACCGATAGTAACCGCTTTCGATTTGTGCAGGCCATTGCACGCATAATCTCGAGGTTCACTAGAGAGACCGGTATAGCACACATACGCACAATAGATAGATATCACAGAAGCAGGCAACAGACTTCCATTTACCTGCCCAGAAATCAAAATCACCGTAACAACACAAATGAAGGAAATCAAAGCTGTTTGAAGTGGATGGTAAACCGTAACAAAAACAAAACATTTCTTACCTTTGGGTGCAAGGCTATAACGGCAAATGCAAATGCAAGAATCATTGTCATAACGATGAAGAAGACGTTTAGTCCACAGTCATTCCCGGAAGGATTGAACCAAATAAACAAAATGCCCGAAAACGCATATGTAGCTAGGTAGCATGCTACTGAAACAACAAGTAAAGCAATGTACCTGTAGAAGTAACTTATATACTATTAGAAATAACAAATTGCGATTAGAATCACGAAAAACGGAAAACAGATAACAACTCGAACCAACCACTTCTGCTCGTCTTTGGCTACCCACGCATCATTCCACGAGTGCGTGGCATCCAATAAAATCAACACTTGAATTAGTAGAAAAAACCCGGCACCAAACTTCGAAATAATTGCTGCACACAGGGAAACAATGAAGATCGGGGGTAATCAAAATCATCATTCCGAGGAATACTTAAAACGCTGAACACACTTAAGCATACAACTAACCGTAAATATCTACAATAACATTTGGGAGGAAAAACATGAGGATGATGAGCACAACCCAAACAGCGAATTTTATAATCCATCCACCATGATGACATGAGTGACGCCTATCGTTTTGATCTTTCACTCCAATCATTATAAGGGCAAGAAGTCCAAAAAACAAGAAGTTCCCCAAGCTGACACGAAGAACTGCTTGCATTTGATACCATTCATTGCTATGACTTTCTGAATCATTTATCCCTACAATTTCAACCAATCAAGAAACGAAAAAGATTAACTTTGGGTAAATTGTGATAAAGAACAAACTAATTTCACAGACAACTTAGGTATTTCTCAGGTAATTTCACAGACAACTTAGTTTAATTTGAGCCCTTTTCCTATTTCTCAGGTATTTCCCTTCCAATTGCCTCTCAAAAAGAGACCTTTACACTGATAACCACACGCCCATCAAAGAAAAACCGCTAAAATTGCAGAAGCACAAAAGTTCCCAGCTCAGAAAAGCTAAGAACTTTACACAACAATTGATGAATCCTTTGTATGAATATATCAAAAAGGGCTAACAAATGAAAACCCAATAGATTCCCTTCCAATTGCCTCACAAAAAGAGACCTTTACACTTATAATCACACGCCCATCAAAGAAAAACCGCTAAAATTGCAGAAGCACAAAAGTTCCCAGCTCAGAAAAGCTAAGAACTTTACACAACAATTGATGAATCCTTTGTATGAATATATCAAAAAGGGCTAACAAATGAAAACCCAATAGAGAGGAGCTTACGAACATGAGAATTTCTTGAGGAGGGGAGCGGCGACTTCTCTGAGAACCCAGGAGACAACCAAGGAGAATCCAAAGATGAGGCAATAACCGAGCCTAGCAGAGCGGCTGCTGATCCCAGACGCCACCGAGGTGCAGAGACCGCACGTCAGAGACGCAAAGCAAGACGCCAAGCACGACATAGCTGAAGCTCAGGAGGAGATCGGCGGTGGGTTCGAAGGAGAAGCAATCATGGTACGAGGAAACGGTTCTTACAGTTATCGGACAAACAGATTATGTTAGAGAAGAAGTGTTTTGGGCTAAGGAAGCTTCAAGAGGGATTGGGTTGGGCTGTGTAGAAGGTTCTACGGATAACACATTGCCACGTAATGGTTTTGGATGAAGGCCCAAGATTTGTGTTCCAATATGCTTAAAATGCCTCATTTGTTTATTTATTTTGTTGACAAGAAAGAGATGATTCTCCGGAAGAGGTGGAGCATAATTTTCATATCAGAAGGTTATGAGTTTGATTATTATTGATAATTTTTTAATTGAGTTCGTCAGTTTTTTTTTTTTTGTGTGTAGTTTATCTATTATTTTATTTTGTATGATTTGCGGACTACTACACATAAGTGTGGTTTACTTGTACACAAAATCGAGTAGTAGCTGCATATTTTTTTTGCCCGTCAAAAAAGATTTAAAATGGTATATTGAAATTGCAAACGAAGACGACCCATGAAATCTCGAATGTTAAAGAGATATGAATATAATAGTCATGTTATAATGCAACGTGCAAATCTTGTTTGCTTAAGAGTCTGTTTTCTCTGATCCTATTACATTAAATGCCTCCACTGAAACTTGAACCTATCACCTCCCACATAAAGAAGCAACATGATACCATTAAATTACAAGATCCTTGGTAATTAAAGAGATCCGAATATAATGGTCACTCATGAAACTTCTAAATACTAAAAGGATAAATATTTGTTGCCCTACATATTGTACTAAGTGGCTTTCAGACTTGAGCTCACTACTCCATTTACAAGGAACAAACTACACACCCAATACTATTTTAAAGAAAAATCAACCTCTTTCCACATCAACTTCGAGTCCTCAAGTTGTTAGTGCTCTACATAACTGCACGGAGCGAAATTTTCAATTTTGGCTCCTACATACCTTGAACATGAAGAAGGACCGTGACTAAATTAGAATCTATTGGGTAGACGCTTAGAGTGTCAAATCCAATATCTTGTTACCGTCTCAATACAGTTAAAATGTGGCAATTATTGGTGATGTGCCAATAATAAATTTTAGTTTAAATTAGAAGAGTAATAGTTAGCTGAAATCATGGTCATATCTATACTAAACTACGCTATCTATGTGGAATGTCGGAGTATGACTATATGTGGTTACAGTGTATTTAAATTTTAATAATAAATATAAAATAACAAACGTGTACTGGTATCTACTTCTTTATTTTTCTATTTGTTTGGATTGTAATGTATCCTTGGGGAATATTGCCAACCTTACAAACACAAATGGTACAAGATACAATATGTATATATCCTGCCAACAAAGAAACTATTTCACAATATGTATTATAGTCATTGTACACTATATAGTCTACCATAATGGATATGATGAGGTGTTTGGAATGTATCTTTTTCTAGTTGCAAATGAACAGGTAGAAATGGGAACAGACCACTTGGTAACCACTCATTCAAAATCTCATATCTGAGAGTGAAGTGTCATTGGTGGGTGGTCTTTTTTTCTTCTTCTTTTTTTTTTTTTAGAAAAATATTTTTTGCTTTCTTTTAAAAAAGGAATGTTGTGATTGTAAAGTCTCAGTTAGTCACATCATATCACAAAACAAAACAACAAATGCACTACTGCAGACTACTACATCCCCATGCATTATTGGTGCAGTCTTAATTGGATGAACTATCTTCCTATTTTATTTGATTGACCAGAAAAACTTGTAGCCATTATTTGGTTATGCACTAAATCAGATAATTCTCACATTATGGTCATTGTCTGTAAAGAACTACAAAGAGATAAACCAATCTAAGTTATCCATGGACCATAGCTGATTAGTAGCTCAAATCAAGAAGGCTGATCAATAGGCTGGTTCATTAGGAGTAGAACGTAACTTGAAGCATTGTGGTTACCAAATTAAACCAACAATCTGACCAACTTTAATTTGTTGGAGTTGTCCTGCCTTGTGACCCTAGCCGGCAAAGGACCACCAGAAGATTTATATATATATATATATATATATGGGTTTTCGGGCAAATCGGGTGGGATTTTACCCAATCCTACCCGATTACTTATTAAATCGGAAATGGGTGTACAAAATCGCGGGTTTGCTTCTCGGGTTCGGATATTCTGTCCGTGTGTAATGTCGGGTCACAGATAGATCGGGTTGGACGGGTTATGCACAGTCCTACTAGAAGGTAAACCAGCCTAGATTATTCGTAAATGACCAACTCATCAAACCAAGAAATTAACGAATAGGCCCTATCACTGGAGTCAAACTTAAAACTCTGTAATTATCAAGCCAGCAACCCAACAGACTTAGCTAGGGTTTTTGAGTTCAAGAATGGCATGCCAATACATAGAGGAGCAACAGATTGTTCTGACTTTCTTGTCACAAGCAAAACACAGTCAGATTAATAGCCAGGGGCCAAAAGTTGCCACAACCAATAGCTCTGAGCCAAAATTAGCTGGAGATAGAATAGAGATCAATCTTCATTTTTTTTGCTAATTAGGTCCACTTTGAGTTGATCTGTTACCCAAAGATCTTATCTTTGATTCCCTTGTTTTCAAGATAAGGTGTGAAGACTTCTCTTCCATTCCTTTAACATGGCAGTGGGACATCAATGTTTCCATAAACAGGTCTTTGTACTGTTTGTTTGATTAATTTTCATCAAGCTTTGGTTCATCTGAACTTGATGTTGCACTCACTTGGCTTGACAGTACTGGGGTCTCTAAAAAGTTCAAATCTTTATTAAACCCTGTCAGATCAAACATTTACCACTATACCAAAAGTTATAGCTAAGGCGCAAGCAATTTTTATTTTTAAAGCCGCCACCGAACAATCACCACGTGGTACTCAATTTTTCAAGCCGTCACCGAACAATCACCACGTGGTGGTGGACAATTCCCAATTCCCTTCCTAGCACCTCTCCGAGTCACCACCCAACAATCTCAACATTCCCCTTCTAGGACTTGCTAGTCTCAATTACACAACATACTTTCAATCGGGTTCGAACCTGTGACTTACTCTCTCGAGCACTTACCACTACGTAGGAATGACAATGGGTCGGGTGTGGGTGGCGGAGGGCTACATCTACCACCCGACCCACCTTATATTTTTCTATAACCACCCTAGCCCGCATGGGATGAAAATTTTCAAAACTCACCGTATCCCACCCCACGGGGTGCAGATGTCCGTTACGAGTACCCACCACGTATTATCTTATTAATTTTTTTTTTTAAAAAAAGAGTATTTAAATTACTTACAGATAATAAAATAACAAAATTCACTAGTTATATTAAAATATAAAATAATATAAAAACTCAAATATAATAACTGAATTTGTTAATTTTAAAAAATAAACATATTAATTTAGAACTAAAAAGTTAGCAAAAGTTCTTGAAACTTTTATAATTAATTAACTAAATATTAGTATTTATTTACTACGGAGTATTAAATTTATAGGTGGTGGGTCGGGTGTGGTTATAAGTAGATTTTGCACAGAAAATCGAATCCAACCTGACCAAACCACATTATTTATACTTAAACCAACTCATGATTTATATTATCTGATTTCCAAAAAGCATTATATTTCTAATAATATTCTTTCTTCTTCTGGTGCAAAGGTGATTTGTGATGTGTATGCATGCATTTGCAGATGGGTTATTGCACAGGAGACAAATATATATATATATATATATATATATATATATATATATATATATATATATATGCACAGGGGACAAAAATATGTAAAATATTAATATGAGAATGGTGGAGCTTGTGGTGCTGTCTGGAAATGAAGCAGCACTGTTGTGTAAGCCACATACAGCATGCCAACTGTAGTTGTTGGTGAGAGTATTGAAGCTTGGACAGTCAGACAGCATGAACCCTGCTTTGTTTACTGTACCTTAAAGTTGAGGACTTTGAGGTTTGTGTGTGGGTGTGTATTATATATGTATTTGTATATGTATATGCATATATGTAATGTTGGAATTTTTAATATAAATGACATTTTAAATGGCTATTTTGTGGTATAAGTATATTTGAGGTCTACTTTTAATTTAGATCAGATTAAAGTGTATTCGGATTTTTTGTAGAGATCGAGACCCGCCCCGCAATTTCGTTTAGGAATTGAGTAAGGGGCAGACCTTCTCATGATAAGATACCTTAAAGGAGGTTTAAACAGGCCTTTAAGGCTCAATAAACGGGAGTTCCTTTCTTATTCACAACGATAAACCAAGGGGGAAACGCTGTTGTAGGAAGTCCTTATTGAACTCCTTTGTCTTTTTGAAAGGATTATAAAAAGTAATATAAACCTACTTTGTATTGATTGCACATCTTTTTGTCGGAGACTTAATGAGTCTCCCTTCCTAGAGACCTAACTTATCACAGTTCCGTTTGGGTTCCAATGAGACGAGGGATGCCTAACTCTTGTTCACCTCCGGTATCTCTAGATAGCGTTTGTGATAAGTGTGTTTAGCAATTGAGACATAACATAGTTTAGATTTAACCTTCCGAGGGAGGCTTACTCTGGGTAGAGTGAGCTGACCGGTTAATCCTAAGGGAGTAAGGAAGGTGTTGCTCAGACTCTGATCCCCCCGAGGGGGATTTTGGAGGGAAAACGTTTAAATATATTATACGCTCAAAACAAATAAGGTGTGAATTAGAAATTGATTCTCAAAGTAGACTTGAGTTGGAAATGAAGATGGAAATACTTTGAAAAACCGACCGAGAAATTGTGTGTTACATGATTCTCATATAAAAAAAGTTACGAGTTTAATTCTTAACTACTCTTTCAGTCGAGCTTGTAGCACACATATCCTCCAAATACAATTTACCTAGCAAGGTTTACCTAAAGCACGCCCCAAGTAGTGAATGTAGTTTCCCTAATAATCTCCCAAATTAAATATACATACACATTATATATATATATATATATATATATATATATATATATATATATATATATAGTTTACCTATGAGTAGTAGTCTGGGTATCTTCAATAATTGCAAGAATAGAA